TAATCAATAATACCCTGACCTGAAGAATGGCATGTAGTTGTCATAAAGCATCCTGCTCAATAGGGAATTGCCAACAGCCAAATTTTAATGTCCCTGCACATTGAGAAGTTTCTGTCTGCTTTATGTTCACCATTAAGTGTTTAGTTTCTAAGTTCTGCTAAGAGTATAATTATGAATGTTCTTATTAATTGCATATGTGCTGGTATTGAAGATGAAGTGTTCAGTGCTTTGGTATTTTCCATATAATGAAAATAATAAATCAACATGCAACATCACTACTGGAAATAAAAAAATACACTTTAATCATTTAGAAATATAGTTCCAGTACTACTTTTTTATAGCACAGATCCATTTTCATTGCCCTTTTTTGTGAGTGAGTGCTTTACCAAAATTAATTAACCAATGTTTTCTTTGCTACCACTGTCACCATAACCTCTTTATAGCATAAATAAACTCAGATTTATCTTCAGAAGCATCGACACATTTGAATTAAAATTGCAAAATCAAATTTTATCATATGTTCTTTTTCTCTTCCAATGATTTTATATCTGTAATTATATATTAAGTGTAACTGCAGCTTTGATTTAATGTGGAAATTCAAATAAAGGATTGAAATATATGATTAAATTTACAGATTTGTTTTTAAGTAATAATTATCATTATACATGGAAATGAAATAAATTTTACAAACTTCCTACAAAATTTAATTTGAATTTTTTAACTAACAGAAAATCTTAATCTATAAACATTAAAATTCGAAAATTTGTACGAATTCTCTGATTATTTTACATAGTTAATTTTAATTGATATATATACAGTACAAAGTCCGAAATCCAGACTCGGTACTTCAGCGTTTCTGAATTTGGCATTTTTCCGGATATTAGAACATAAGTTTAAATCTAGTAAGACAGCATGTAGAAATTATAAAATTAAAAATATGAAATCATGATTTATGAAATAATGAAATATTTATAATCTAAAATGTATCAAAATTTGCAAAAAAAAAAAAACAAAAAAAAAAAAAAAAAGCTTTATATTTATTTGTTTACCTTATTAAACTTATTTCTTTCAATGTAAGTTGTTTAAGTTGCTCTGTTTCTTGTGCTAATACTTTCTCTTTAATTATGTAGACAGACATTATCTCTTGTTCAGGTACATTGTTGAAGTCTTGTAACTGCTGTTTCGAGAATTCCGACTAACTTGTCAATCGAAATTTTTTTGTGTTCAGTAACTTCTCTGTCACTTTCTTCACTATCGGTAGCAGTATTTTCTGGATCTAGAACCATACTACAGATTTCACCATTCAATAATTGATTGATGATTGAGAAGCATTGTCATCACAATGAAAAACTTCTTTTATATCATCTTCATTTATTACCGCTTCTCCACGTTTCTTAACAAAATCCGTTAATTGGAAAATTTCACCTTTGTTTTGCGATATCCGAAAACTTTTAAAATTAGCAGCTATCTTCATCAAATTTATCTGTCCTTCACTATACATATTTGGCTATGCATCATGAGCTTGGCGACTAACGACAAGCTGTTCCGTTAAATTTTATCTTGCTTCTATTGCACACTGAGACAATTAAGCCTCAATTAGTTTAGTTATTTATCATACTTATGTCTATTTTTCTTGCACATGCTTATCAGAGTTCTGAATAAATAAATTTCCGCATACACTTAAGCCTTACTGAAAGCCGGCATTAGATATCTTACCGCCTGACACAGTCTCTGTGGGTCCTAAATTCTGTGACTCGGTGCGGCCATACGAGCCCTGGCGCTGGGTTTATATGAATAACAAATCACTTATTCTTAATTCAAACTGCCCTAAATGTAATCTTTAGGTTGATGAGTATCATCAACAAAATTTATTTTTAGCATTTGAAAAGATATGTTTGGTAAATTTTTCCTCGCCAACTTTTTTCAGTGCATTTAACTTAAACCTGTAATCATCGCCAAGCATAATGTCAATATAAAAGGTTATCATACTTCTTTATTATTCAATTACTAACACATAAAAATTGTTTAGACATCGATACATGAGTCATTACTCAAGTTGGTCATATTTTGATAAATATGCGGTGATGAAAGGAAAGTATAATAAATAATGATTCACGAGGTTGGTGTCAGATCAACGATATATATATGTGGAATGTTTTGGTTTGAGATGTGTGCTAAGCAGATACACAGCAACGGAGCCAAATTACTGATCATACAAATATATGCTTAAATGATTGTTTCTTCAATAACAAGATATTTTATTTAGTGTCGAAGTGAAATTAAGAAACGGGACTCTCCAGATACTTTGTTATGTGCGGAGGGGGAATCAAATGCACATGCGTAAAGCCTACAATAAAAACGTTGTTGTTGGTTTTAAAGTTCCAGATTTTAGATCATTCTGGATAATGGATGTCCAGATTTCGGACTTCGTACCGTATATATATATCCCCCCCGGGGGGTGACTCAGACGAACGCCTGGAAGTACTTATTAGGATCTGTACCTAGGCAGTCTCAACCACGGGAGTATATAATCACTCTTCACAGAAGGCCTGAGGGGTCTCGGGACAGGGTAAGGCTCGGCAGGGACTGTACTGGTACTGCCTTGTCTGCCCTTGCTCTGTGGGGTCGAAATACTGTAGATTGATCAGTGGGTTGGGTGGCACTAATCCCGTTTGGCAATAGTCCTCAGGTCGGGAGCCCCGTACTCCAAGCGTTGTATATATATACAGTCATACAGTCAAAAGTCGTTAATCCGGACTCGTCGGGACTTCGGCGATTCCGGATTATCGATTTTTCCGGATTATAGATCATCAGTTTAAATCTCATAAGATGGCATGCAGAAATTCTAAAATTAAAAATATGAAACCGTAATTAATGAAATAAAGAACAATTATGATCTAAAGAGTATCAAAATTTACAAAAAAAAAAAAAAAAAAAAAAAAAAGCTTAATATTTATTTGTTTACTTTATTAAACATTTCTTTCAATGTAAGTTGTTTAAGTTGCTTCGTTTTATGTGATAATACTTTCTGTTTATTCTATAAACAGACATAATTTCTTGTTCAGTTACAAAGTTCCGCTGTTCAAGTCCCGTTAATTGCTGTGCCGAGAATACCGACTAACTTGTCAATCAAAATTTTTTTCGTTTTCACTAACCTCTCTGTCACATTCTTCATGTCTTTATCCATTTTTTGCACACAGCACTTCCACTTTTTGTTTGTTGGACATCATGAAACATACTTTCGTTTTGTAGATCCTTTGGAAGTTCCAGCATCGGAAATTCTATTTGACATAATCGAAAGCTCAAGTTTACTTTTATAAAATTGCTCTTACAGTCTGCAAAAAATAATAAGCGGGATCCAATTCGAAGATTAAGGAACAACGCAATCATTAACATTAACTGAAATAGATAATTACATAATTTTAGCTTACACCGTCCGTTACACATTAAACACGCAGGCGAAAACGTATTCTGCACTTGCGCATACGCATATGCGCAGTAGTCAAGGTCTTACGTGCACGCCTAAAACGCCCGTGCGCATGTGCCAACGCGGCGCATGCGCAGAAAGTTTTTAGCTTTGAGGTCCGGATTATAGATCATTCCAGATTATGGGTGTCCGAATTAACGACTTTTGACTGTATATATATCGTTAATACATAAAACAAAGCCAACAACTACTAAAAATTATTTGATAGATATATTTTAGCAATTTATCTCAATTACTTTATTTGCTTTGAATAAAAGATATTTTTCTGGTGGTTGTATTGAAATATATGAGTGCATTTTGGAACCATTTGTGTTTGAAGAATAAAAAAAAAAAAAAAAAAAAAAAAATATTATTGTTTTCTTTTTAACTAAGTGAATATAATTTATAGAGCTCAAATTCAGCCACAGCTCACTGGAATCCAGTTGCAATAATTCTTAATTTTTGATTGAAACACTAATTTCAGCTGAATCTTAAATTACATGAATTCTTTTAATTTGTCAGTTGACATACATTTAAATTAATTTAATAATATTTTTGTTTACCCCTCTGCTTTTTACTATTAATTATTCAATATTTGATTTATTTACTTTCATTTACCTTTCCTATGGCCTTCTATAGGTCTGTTCAGATATTAAGTCCAATTTCAACTTCTGATATTGTAAACTGACCAATGCTTATAAACTAAATTAAAAAATATATTAAATGACTCATTTTAAATTACAGGGAATGCAAAAAACATTGGTTGTTCACCTCATAATACGAGCTTCAAATTGAGCTTTTTTATGTACCTGAGAGGGAGGGAGAAAATCTTTGGCTGATTAAATTCATGAAGTTTAGCAAACGACTGCCAAACGTATATGTACATTAAAGAAATCAAACAGTCGCAAAAGATACCGCTAATAACTCGAAAAATGAGAGGAAAAGCAGTGATTTGAGACTGGTAGACTGATATGTGTTCTCAGGTAGCTTGACAAAAGGTACTGCATGCTTTATTAACAACTGTAGATGAAAACTGTAAGGGAAAAAGTTGCCTGTTGTTGATTTATTAACTTATTTTGATGCAAAGAATTTAAATGTTGGGTAAATTAAAGTGTAAATTTATATTTCACTCAATAAAAATACAAAATAAGAACTAAAGCTTTAATAGATTTTTCATGTCAAAATACACTTAAGGAGTAATGCACTGAAACAATTATGCCTTTTCTTCATGGCAAATGTAATTTCAAATCTATAACTATCTTTAAATTAAATTCTAATCATAGGATAAGAATTATATATGCGACAGATCATGCAAAGACATACTGAAATACGATAGAAAAATAAAAATTAGTGAATGTTATAATAACCTGAACATTCTCATTGATTCCTTAATATTATGCATACTGAAAATGAGATGAAAAACATGAAAAAAATATTATACATTTAATATGAACATTTATAATAAATTAGATGTGGTTAATAACAGTAAATGTGAAGCATGGTTTTATATATCTGTATTATGATTTTTACTTACATGAGCAGATACTTCAGCATAACATGTTTCACCATTTCCCATGAGCAGCTGAGATATCATGGAAGAAACATATTTTATTTCTCGTGCCATTGAACTAAACAATTAAAAGAAAATTAAAACTGGCATGCATTCAACTTAACTCTTAATACAATATTAAAAAGAACAATATATTTAAAGTACAGACTATACTCTACAAATATCAATATTTACAGCTACTGTTATCAAATTTGAGTAGAGTACATCAAAGGAAATTTACAGTAAAAGGAACCTAATTTATTTAATAATCATAAGCATCTCCTAATACTATTTTAATACAAAATTTTCAATATCACATATAATCTTTACTAAAAGTAACACAGTCGGAAAATTAAATGATAGTATTTCAAAACTAAGTTTCAGTATTCTATAGCTCATGGGTAAAAAGATTATAAAATAAAAGAAACACTCACAAATGGGTAAAAATACTTTATTTTTATTGAGATTGCAGTGGAACTATTACCGTTTTTAACACTGTGTTGCCAAGAATGATTTATACAGTGAAAGAAAGGATAAAAAGATGATTCAGATACAAAGTTGATTGAGACAATGGCAATATCTTTTATATGAAAGAAAACAACAACTTCAGCAAACTGCAATGTGCACTGTTGGCTTTAAATGCTCCAAACTTGTTGTTTGTAACCTTTTCCCCAATTTTTTAATTTTTGATCTTTAATATTTGCCAAGTGGCAAAAAATGGAAATATCAACATTTTATTGCTGAATAATCAGGAACAGGATAATTACTAGGAATTTAAATTACATATCCCTAAAGAAGAATTATTGAGAAAATGATAAGTTTAAACAAAATGTAATAATGAGAGCAAGAAACTAGGTTACACGAAAAAGATCACATTTATACAGCTGAACAATTTATTTATTGTTAGTGCAAGAAATTAATATCAATTGCAATTTGCCCAAAAACTAGGTAGTTAACAAACAGGTTGACACTGATCAAAAGATTCTAGTTGTCTTCAACTAAAGTTTGTCGGCCAAGGACCAAGCATAGGCAGCTGCCCAGGATGCTGATTTTGAGAGGATGCTACCTATATTCTCACAAGCTTTGACTGATAAACAGTATATTTTACTTCAAAAAATTATTACACTCAGTTTACATGGAGTGCCTACTGTACTGATTGCCTAGGGCAAGGAAAATGCTAGAGGTGAGCCTGTTGTTAAAAAAAAATAGCCAGACAACTACTGTCAATCCAAATTTCCTCTTTAAGATTGGTCTTCCAGTTCTAACAACTAAATCACATTTTTGTAAGGCAGTTTTTTAACCCCTATGGCCAAGGGGCTTGACTATCTTTATCAATTCATGAGATTTTCCGTCACTTGGAACATTTAAGCTTGTAATTTAATGTATTTTGCTCCTTACTTTCTTTAATGATGTACATATCATCTTAATGAATGGAAGTTAAAAAAAGCCGAGACTAAACTAAATAATTACACACTTTTAGCTAATAGAAGTTGTTGAACTATAGGTCTTCATGAGTAGATATAAAAAGCCATGCCATCTGGAGAGTTAATACAGAATATGTAAACCTTTTTTATATATTTTGGCATACAAATGACACGTAGAACATACCAAGAAGTAAACCACAGCAATCAGAAAAAGAATTGTAATTGTGAAACTATACATGAAGAAATTTTACTTGACTTTTAAGTTGTAGAGACATTAGGATATTTTTTGGAGGCCTGAGAGATGAAAAATTAACAACGCCTTCGCCAGGAATCGAACCACGGACTTCTGGAATACCGTCCCAGCGTACTACCATTACACCATGAAGGCACGCTAGGGAAGTGGGAGAAATACCTTATATACTCCCCTTTTTAAAGGGCGACTAGGGTTTTAGGGGCCAAATCCTGGGTGCGGAGAATCATCATCCACAACCCTTTTAGTTCGGGTGCCACTGTAGAGACATTAGGATATTTTTTGGAGGCCGAAGAGATGAAAAATTAACAACACCTTCGCAGGGAATCAAACCACAGACCTCTGGAATACCATCCCAGCGTGCTACCGTTACACCATGAAGGCACGCTAGGGAAGTGGGAGAAATACCTTATAAAGTAAATTGATATTAATGACTTAATAGGTCAGCCCAGATGAAAATACAAAGTTTCACTTATTAATACTAAATATATTTGTATTAAAAGCACACCAGAGAGCTCCTAGTAATTTCAGTTAAAAAAAAAGATTAAGAACTTAGCAGAAACTTCAACATAAAAAGAAAATTAGCATAAATTTAGAGCACCAAGAATTTACTATAAGCTGCTAAAACATGAAAGATATTCCCTTATGATAAAGTACATTAACATTATTTATACAGTTGTTAAGTAACTTTGTAGCACAATTATTTGTATGGACCTTACTCACATTTACATTATAAATGAAAAGGTCCATAAGAAATTATAAGCAATATTTATTTAGACAATGGTGATAAAACAGAAAGGCTTTCACAAAATGCACACAGAAGCAGGGAATGAAGCATATGGCATATATCATCTTCATTATCATTAAGCAATTCATATTATTTTAAAATTTATTTCTAACTTTATGATCATTTATTGATATGCAACAAATATTTTAATGAAAATTAAGTAGTTAAAACTTTATGTTCCCAGATTATTTTAACAGTGGGCACTACACTGTGGATCCTAAAGTACAAACAAGAAAATAAATATAATTATAAAGCATTTGCTTTTAAACTCAATACACATATATACCAATTACATCAGAATAATATGATTAAGCCTCCTCTGGCAGGCCACAAAATTAAAGGATTATTACAGCTCATATTAATGTGTTAAGCTTTTATACAAGGACTTCAAAAATTTGCAGTATTTTTACAACAGGTGACCTCTCAGTTGATTCTATAACTGCTGCTCTTTATAAGCTCATATATACTCATATGACAGGATACTTAATGTGAAAATAAGATGGCTATCAGTGTTCTGTTGCATATCAGGATAGCAGTAAAATGAAAACTATCCAGAAATATGAAATAAGATTGCTTTAATCTAGAGATTTGATAAGGAAGTCTGACTCATACTTTATTGCAGTCACACTGAAATGACCATTAAGAGCAATTTAAGCAAAATTCCATTAAAAATTGATATGGAACTTTCCCTTTCTCTTAGGTAGTTACCCCTTGTGATGTTGTACCCTGGGAAGCATTCTCAGTGATCAGATGGGTAAATGACTAATGGGTTTAGGCTATTCTCAACAATGCATTAAGATGAAAAGTCTCCAAGCCTTCCCATGTTGTTGGTTTAGAAATGCACATGTTTTTTTTTTTTTTTTTTTTTTTTTTATCATTTTAAGCTTCTGTTTTATTTATAAGCTGGCATGTAATAAATAAATTAACCCTTCAGGTGGGGTGTATTTACAAAAAGGCTGCTTGATACTACTATAGAAAACACATGGAAAGACCCATCAGATGTTTCAAAGAGAAGAATGAGGTAAATACTGCAGAGTATATTTAGGATGGGATCTCAGATATGAAAGAGTTCTCAAGAAGCTTGTGACAGGAATACAAAGAATAGAATTATATGAACTGTAATAAAGCCCAGAAAAACTGTCTGTCTATAGGAAAATGTCTTTGTGCAAGACTTTTTAAAGGAAAAAGTTCATATATGTCACACATAAGGAAAAACCAGAAAAATTGTCATATAGCCAGCCCATTTCCTAGGGCTGAACTAATAGTGTTCAGAATTTTTTACTCCTTGGTTGCTGGCTGCAAGAATAGAAGGATATTGAATTTAAATCTAAAATGATTCTGTTCAAAACTGAAAGAAGTCAGATAGTCTGTCAGAAATCGATATACATTTATAGCTCCATGAATGCTATTTAAATTTTTATGTTTTGGGTGATTATTTATACAGATTTTAGTCGCAACATTGTTTGTATAAAAAAAAGAAAGGAAAAATATTTTTGCTTTGAAACAGTATACAGCTGTGTTTGTTAAAATGATGAAGTGTAAATGCTTGGAAATATAATTTAGATGTTTATATAAAAGGAATTAATATTAAAACTGGGTAGATACTATTGAATTCTTGACAGGTGGTGATCTGTAGACAGAAAATATTTAAAATGGATAAAGTGCACAAATAGTGCAAAGTTGTTTGTTGTGCTTTCACTCAATTGTACAATCAAATTACAGATGTCAGTTCGAATGATAAACCTTTAAATTAAACTGCAAAGAACTTCCGAAATTAAATTATCAATCTACGGAGTTTATGCTAGAAGATGACAACACTAAAGATGAAAATTGCGAAAATGAAAGCCAGTCAGTTGATGAATATAATAATGCGTTTTTCAAAGAACATTTTTGATAAACATTTTAAGGAAAGAGAGGATGATAATTCAATTCTAGATGGTAAAAAATCAAAACCGAAAGTTAAACTAGAAAATTGACAAGGATGGGAGTACAGACCCAGAAGATAAGTTCCAGTATCTTATTCAATGCACTGTTCCAAATTTCAGAGCTACAGAGCTTATTCACATTATTTCATCCTTCCATGATCAACTTGAATTGCAGTTAAGAGCAACAGATTCATTGGGAGTTCACACAAAAATGTACCATGCCATACTATTTCTGTTAGAAGAGTCATGCATTCCTGAGGAATTGCTAAGAGTAAGGCAGGGACAATCAAAAACTGGAAAAACTTCAAAGGAAAGATTGGATGATCGGATGACTTTTATTAGGAATGAAGTTGAAAGTGAACAACGAATATTTATGGCAATTAATGGATCTGAATTAGGTAAAGATAACGAAGGACAAAAAATTGACCCAAAAAATCAAAAACAGATTCATACAGACTGCTAATGATTTATTTTATGGTGAATAAAGAAAAGTTAAATAGCTGCAGATTTTGCAACAAACCACATGGAAGGAAAGAATTTTGTTTGTTTGTTTTGTGTGTGCACTACAGATGACTTATAATCAAACACAAGATATTTTAAAGAAGAAAGGGAACTAACTGTTTTACTTGTTTGAAGAGCAAGTACCAAACAAGAAATTACAAATCCAACATAAGGTGCTTAATTTGTTCTAAG